GCATCATTAGCAAGTACTAGCAATGTTGAGGAGTCAAATCCTAAAAGCGAGGAGGAAATCACTCACCCGCCAGAAGACAGAACAGCAATGCTCTCCAGAATTGGGAATGTGTCTATTAAAAATATTGCTATTCCTATGCCTGATAAGGACACCGCAGTGCCATCTACAGTACTCACTGCATTAATAGCCACTTCAGGCTATCCGGAGGAGTCAAATCCAAAGAGCGAGGAGGTGACCACCAACTCGCTGGAAGACAGTTTAATGTATGACCATGATTGAGGTTATCCAAATAAACCTCCATCGGAGCGAGACAGCTACCAACGCTCTGATGGCTAAAATCAACACAGGTAAAATACATATAGCTTTAATCCAGGAACCTTGGACGATTCGCAACAAGGTTTCTGGATTAAATCACGTAAATTTCCAACTTTTCTACGCTGATACAGGATCTCGCCCGAGAACATGTATCTTATGTCACAAGAACTTATGTTTTCTCCTCTCAACAGGATTATCAACATCGGATGCAACGGTGCTGAAGCAAGGTCGTGGCAACATATTCCTTGCATCTATTTACCTACCTTTCGATTCTCCGACACTACCACCAACGTCGGATCTGATGAAACTGGTTGAAGAGGCACAAAGGAAAAATAAGAAAATTGTAATAGGTTGTGATGCCAACTCGCATCATGTAGCTTGGGGTAGTACAAACACCAATCGCAGGGGACAAGCCCTCATGGATTTCTTTAATACTAAAGACTTGATAACATTGAACTTAGGTAATAAAGCTACCTTCGTCAATAGAATCAGAGAAGAAGTATTAGATATAACTATATGTTCAGAAGAGCTTATAAACGAAATTCAGGATTGGAGAGTTTCGGACGAGCACTCCTTTTCTGATCATCGGTACATAAGATTCAAAATACTAAGGCCACCACCAAAGCCGATAAAGTTTCGGAATAAGTCTAAAACTAATTGGACAATGTTCGGGACCTTACTAAAGAACCGTTTAGGTCAGGACACTTTTCAATGTCGAAATAAAGAGGATATAGATGCCAAAGTGGAAACGTTCACAAGTGCCCTGGTTGAATCGTTCGAGGACAGCTGCCCTCTGCGAGAGCGGAGATCTGCCCAGGAAAAACCCTGGGTAACTGGGGAGATCCGGAACCTTGGGAAGACTCTTCGCAAACTATTTAACCGGGCACGGCGTAAAAAGACCGCAGTATACTGGGATGAGTATCGTAATAAACTTGGTGAATATAAGAAAATCGTTCGAAAAGCCAAACGAGACTCCTGGAAACTTTTCTGTGAACAGGTAGATAGCGTAAATGACGTATCGAAGATAAAAAAATTCCTATCCAAAACTCATGTCCAACCGGAATCTATGATCGATGACACGGGCAGGAGGCTTGAGGATATGGAGGAGACAATGAAACTCCTAATGGATTCTCATTTCCCACCCGGTATATCGAATAACATAGATGAACCGATATTGGAGGAAGGGGAGGGTAACACGGAAATAGTTATTACAACTGACATGGTTAAAGGGGCAATCAAGAGCTTTGCTCCCTATAAAGCTGCAGGGCCGGATGGAATTTTCCCGGCACTTTTGCAGATGGAGGCGGGACTGGTTTCCGTACATCTGTCACAGATATTCACTGCATGCTTAAAATTGGCATATACCCCAGTTAAATGGCAGGATGCAAGGGTAATATTTATACCCAAACCAGGGAAACCTAGCTATGCGACACCTAAGTCCTATCGACCGATAAGTCTTACGTCCTTCCTACTTAAAACCTTGGAACGGATAGTCGATAGCATGGTTAAAAGCAGCATACCATACAATGACCTTAAATATAAGCAGCATGCTTATGTAAAGGGACGATCGGTGGAAACCGCTTTAAATGAAGTTGTCCACTACATAGGTGAATCTTTCGATAGCAAACTGTATACACTGGCAGTATGCATTGACATCGAAGGCGCTTTCAATAACGTGCACACTGATACCCTTATCCAATCCCTAGACCAGTTTTATGTTGACCGGGTGCTCCGTAACTGGATCAACTACATGCTAAGGAACAGATGGATAAGCTGCGAGATGTACGATATAACTATAAGGAAAAAGGTATTTCGAGGTATACCACAGGGTGGCATTTTGTCACCTTTACTCTGGGTCACCACGATTAATAGCCTCCTAAGGACCCTAACCGAGAAAGGACTTAGACCTGTCTGCTATGCAGACGATGTCGTAATACTTTTAAAGGGAAAGGATCCAAATTACTTGTGTAGAAGAGCTGAGGAGGCTCTGAATACGGCCTTGAGCTGGGCTCAACCGAGAGGCCTCAATGTTAACCCGGCGAAGACGGAAATCTGTCTTTTCACAAGAAAGACAAAAATTTCTACATATACTGAACCTTGCTTCTTGGGCAAGAAGATACCGGTGACAGACAAAGTTAAGTACTTAGGTGTAATACTTGACCGGAAATTAAAATGGAGACACCACATAGAGGATAGGATCAACAAGGCACATCGGTGCTGGGCGATATGTAGGAGAACCATAGGCATGAAATGGGGTCTTAGTCCTACTATGACAAATTGGCTTTATAAAAGTGTAATTAGACCAATTCTAGCTTATGCTTCAATAATCTGGTGGACTGCTTTGGACAAAAAGTGTAATATCAAATTACTACAAGGAGTTCAGCGTACATGCTGCTTGGGTATAAGTGGTGCCATGTGTACTACTTCAACCAAGGCTCTGGAAACGTTGCTAGATATTCCACCCATTGAAACATATATAAGATATGAGGCGGCGCTTACAGCCGAACGGCTCTTTACTTTAGGCGAACTGGCCAAAAACGGTTATAGGACACGTCATCAATGTATACTGGACACATTGGAAGGTTATACACATTCATCGGACGTGCCTGATCGCATACCAGACACTGAATATGTCGGAAACTTTGAAACGCTAATCCCAGATAGAATGTCTTGGTCAAGCGGAACATTAGAGCAAATACCAGTAGGAATCCGTTGCTACACGGATGGCTCTAAATTAGGGGACAAAGTGGGTCTGGGGTTCTATATTGAAGACCCAGAAACAGAAATATACCACCGTTTACCTAATCATAACACAAGCTTCCAGGCAGAAGTACGAGCAATAACGGAATGTGTAAATTGGATTAGAATAAATATGGCGCCCACAAGGCTTAATATATTTACCGACAGCCAGAAGGCAATTTGTGCGATATCAGGTGATAGAATTAAATCTAAGACCGTATTGGATTGTAAGAAAGCTTTAACTGAATACTCTCCCAGAGGTAAGGTTCACATCATATGGGTACCAGGCCACTCGGGAGTAATCGGCAACGAAAGGGCGAATGCAATAGCTTTAAAGGGAAGGGAGCTCGATGTAGTTAACCTGACAAACGCAAAACCATTCGACGCAACAAAAGCTGAATTAAAAATATGGATGAGAGAATCCCATAAGGCCTCTTGGAATAATGAAACGGTGGGTAGAACCACAAAGATTCTATGGGGTGACCCTGATGAGAGCAAGACGAGAAATCTTCTCAAAATGAGCAAGTCTGAGGTTAGTATGATGGTACGTATTCTCAGTGGACACACAGGATTACGAGCACATCTATACAAAATTGGACGTGCGAATTCAGACGAATGTAGAGCATGTGGAGAGGACAGTGAAACTCTGGAGCACTTTCTTTGCCATTGTCAGGCATTCGTCGAAGTTAGATCCAAGTATCTTGGAAGTGATGTTATTCCGGAAATAACATTCTTAACCAACACCGATTGGAAGATTCTTAGGAATTACGTCCAGGAAACTGAGTTTCTGAACATTCAGTAAACATTTTTTTTTTTTTTTTTTTTTTTTTTTTCTTGAATTGGAGCGCACAACAGGCCCGATAGTGGCCTAGGTGTATTTCTTCGGATTTGATGTAGTATACATCCTCCTATCAACCTAACCTAACCTAACCTAAGTTGAACTACTCGACTCTGACATTTTATCCCCTGATCTTATATATCCCTATTTAAGTAAAATTATTTGTATAAAGTTACTCCTTTCAAATGTTTGTTATTTCTCTATAATTTGGCAAAATTTTTAAATTGAAAAATTTATAACGAAAGTTGTGTTATTATTATGAAATGACTGGTTTAATTCAACTTTTTCACTTTAGTAAACTTTTTGGCAAAAAGTAAGAAAACAAGAAAATCGTAGACAAAGCATAAAAAAGAGAAACCAGCTAGAGAAAAATAAACAATTTGCCTAAAAGTATGCAAAGTATGTTTTATGAAAATTAAAGTTAAATTTAATTTAGAAGGACTTGCTGTTTTTGATGATTTTAACAAAACGACTACAAAACGGTTACAATAACGACGACAATGATGAAAATGTGAAATTATAATGCAAATAACCGCAAAATTGAATTTTTGTGTTTGTCTTACAGCAAGCAACATTTCACAACCAACAATATGTATTAAAAAAATAATAATAAAAAAACATTTAAACAACAAAAAAAGCCATTATAACAATTTATAATAAACAATGGCCATGGCAACCTACCAACCCGGCCAGTTATCCCAAAAAGTATATAAAATTTATCTACGCCTTGTAGTAGGCTAAGATGTCACAAAATTCTTTGTTTAGCACAAATAATATTCATGCCTGACAAACATCAAAAAAAGCATGTTTAAATAAATAAAAATCTCATAAATATTATTTCCAAGTCTTTATTTACGTTTTTAACAAGCAATTATTTTCTTCGTTTATGTCTTTTATTTTAAAGGCAGTCTGTGCTCTGGCTGTTTGTATGTTTGATTGCTTTATTTGCTGTATACTTTTTGGCGCTAAATTGTTTTATAATTTGCCAGTTTCCTTTTATGTTTGGTTGTAAAATTAATTGAGATTAGCTATTTGATTGTTATTTAAATTTAAATATATATATATATTTTTTAATTTGTGGCTTTCGTATTTTTTTTTTTTTTTGCAGAAATGGAAACAAAATTAGATTCACGCCAGGGACAATTTCCGGCCTCATTTCCGGATACGTTTAAGAACTTTTTCGCCATGATGAACGAAGATGAGGATCATATGGATTTGTTTTCAAATTTATTGGAGGATAAGGTAAGTTTGTATTGTAGACAATTATTAAAATGTTTAACAGATTATTAAAAGCCTATTTTAAGGTGTTTACTTTAGTAGGAAATTAAAGCATATTTTGGGGTTGTTTTAAATTTCATTATATAAAGCATATTTGAAGGAGTTTGTATAATGTAAATTTCTTATAAAGCTTCAGGCATTATGCAATTTGAATTATATTTTATGATATAAACTTTAAGGTATTACTTCCTTCTGTTTTACCCTAAGGCAAAATTGAAATTAACAAAAATATTTTCCAATTTTATCAAATATGCATCGTATTTGTTTTCAGTTTAAAATATTACTTACAAAATAAATATTTAAATGGTACTTTATTTACAAAAGTTTTCCATTCTTCTTCTTAGTTATTTTTGTTAAATAAAACTAAAATAATTTTAAAAAGATAATAAAGTAAACAATTTTATTCTAAATATTTGATCTACTTGAACTGAACTAGAACTGAACTAGAACTGAACTAGAACTGAACTAGAACTGAACTAGAACTGAACTAGAACTGAACTAGAACTGAACTAGAACTAGAACTGAACTAGAACTAGAACGAACTAGAACTAGAACTGAACTAGAACTGAACTAGAACTGAACTAGAACTGAACTAGAACTGAACTAGAACTGAACTAGACTGAACTAGAACTGAACTACGAACTGAACTAGAACTGAACTAGAACTGAAACTATGAACTAGACTGAACTAGAACTGAACTAGAACTGAACTAGAACTGAACTAGAACTGAACTAGAACTGAACTAGAACTGAACTAGAACTGAACTAGAACTGAACTAGAACTGAACTAGAACTGAACTAGAACTGAACTAGAACTGAACTAGAACTGAACTAGAACTGAACTAGAACTGAACTAGAACTGAACTAGAACTGAAACTAGAACTGAACTAGAACTGAACTAGAACTGAACTAGAACTGAACTAGAACTGAACTAGAACTGAACTAGAACTGAACTAGAACTGAACTAGAACTGAACTAGAACTGAACTAGAACTGAACTAGAACTGAACTAGAACTGAACTAGAACTGAACTAGAACTGAACTAGAACTGAACTAGAACTGAACTAGAACTGAACTAGAACTGAACTAGAACTGAACTAGAACTGAACTAGAACTGAACTAGAACTGAACTAGAACTGAACTAGAACTGAACTAGAACTGAACTAGAACTGAACTGAACCTAGACTGAACTAGAACTGACTAGAACTGAACTAGAACTGAACTAGAACTGAACTAGAACTGAACTAGAACTGAACTAGAACTGAACTAGAACTGAACTAGAACTGAACTAGAACTGAACTAGAACTGAACTAGAACTGAACTAGAACTGACTAGAACTGAACTAGAACTGAACTAGAATGAACTAGAACTGAACTAGAACTGAACTAGAACTGAACTAGAACTGAACTAGAACTGAACTAGAACTGAACTAGAACTGAACTAGAACTGAACTAGAACTGAACTAGAACTGAACTATAACTGAACTAGAACTGACTAACTAGAACTGAACTAGAACTGAACTAGAACTGAACTAGAACTGAACTAGAACTGAACTAGAACTGAACTAGAACTGAACTAGAATGAACTAGAACTGAACTAGAACTGAACTAGAACTGAACTAGAACTGAACTAGAACTGAACTAGAACTGAACTAGAACTGAACTAGAACAGAACTAGAACTGATCTGTTCTACTCTATTTTAATCTATTCTACTCAGATTTTTGATATTCTTTTATATTGATCAATTGTGCTCTGATATATTTTTCTCTGATTCTGATCTTCAATTCTCTGATCTAGTCTACGCTGATCTTATCTAACCTGATCTAATCTTCTCTTTACTGTTCTGATCGATTCTTCTCTGATCTACTCTGATTTGTTCTACTGTACCGATCTACTCTGATTTACAATATTCTGATTTATTTCACTCCAATCTATTCTTCTCTGATCAATGCTACTCTAATCTATTCTATTCAGATCTACTCTCTTCTATTCATTTTACTCTATTCTACTCTATTTTACCCTGATCAACTCTAATCTAATATATTCCTTATGGTGTGTGAAACATAATACTCTTTCCACTATGATGGTATATGGAAATCTCTTAAATAAGCTCCCAACATTCAAATAAACTTCATCAACTCTCCTAACCTATTATTTTCAAAGGCAATGGATAATAATACATAATTTTTTTACTTAAATACCTTCCTACTGACAGTTGATTAAACAACTCAAAAACCTTATTAACATAATTAAATTGAGAAAAAAATATGTATGTTGAATATATTATTTTTATATTATGTCTTACCTGTATTATCACCACGTCCATCTGTCTTTTGTGACAGTATACCACACACTTATTGTAATTGGAAATTCATCTGTAAAGTTTTATTCACTTTAACAATGGCTTTTTTTTTCTTTCTTTTTTACAACATATTTATACCTTTTTATTTAATTGTTGAGGCATGTAATAAAATTTTACATTGTTTAAACCAAAATGACAGATGTCTGCAATATTGTTGCAATTTACACACAGCTGAACACTAGTGCCAGAGTAATTCAACAGTTTTAAAGGGAGTCGAGGTTTGCTTAACTTTTCGGACAGCATTTTTCCTTTGTATTGGTTATTTGTAATACAGAGAGGAAATGATGAAATGTAAGGAAGAACTCGCCACTTCATTATCCCTAAGTAATCTAGAGAGTAGTCAGTTTAAATATATATTTCTTTTTAACCTAAAAGAAGTATGTTATTGTGAAGTTATTTTTGTATGATCAATTCTCATTGTTACTGGAACTGTCGGGTTATCTCTTCTTTTTCATTTTCACTCTCCCCAATGTAAAATTTATATGGCTTTAAATAATTGTCTCGAAATAAGGACATGATTTATAATACACAGGTTGTTTGGCGCAGCAGTAATAATGAAGTTCATTTGATGTTATATGTCTTTTTGTAAAGGGACATTGGTAGAATCTAGAGAAGAAAAACGAGAAAAAAACTTTTAAAGTTAAACAATTTTGTCACAGTCGCAAAAATATACTTTAATATTAAATGACAAAGTTGAGCAAAAAGTCAACAAATGAAAATTGATTTTAACTGATGAGTCTGAAACTTTAAACTTAAATTTCTTGTGTATTAGAAATTTACTATTTATTTATAAGTTTTTATAAAAAAAATTTAATTAAAAAACTTTTTTATAATACTATGAATACAGCAGTAGTATTTTAATACTAAAGTATATTTTTATTATTTTTCTTGGAAATTGAAAAATACACAAGTTTCAATAAACGTATAAATATTGACACTGAACCCTATGCAGGACCTACATACTTACATATATATATTTCTGAACTTTACTACAGTAGGAACTTGATAAATGAGAAGTATGTATATAAAAAAAACCTAGCTATGATGTATTCTGTAGGTGTTCCTATATATCCCTATAAATAGGATTTTTAAATTGAAATTTTTGGATATAAAGAGGAATATCGGAGGGGGTAGGCTAGGGTTATTAGGGACCAATCATTACAGAATTTGGTAGAGTAATTAATATTGTTATGAAATTTATCAGTATCGAGTTTTATTACTAGATATTGTTACGTAATCCAAAAGCATCAGAGAGATCTGTGGTAGAGATCATAATTGAAAACTCGGACTTGTATTGAAAAATTGGATTTCTATGGAACATAAGCAAACAACTTTTATAGAAGTTTCCACTGTAAAATAAAATTATCATCATTTTCTATCTCATTACATTGTGCACGTACAAATTGCTCTTTTTTCTAACATTTTACTGGTTAAGTTTATATTTTCAATATTTATTTTATTTTTTTATAAATTTTCCACATTACAGGTAATACCAAGAGCAAATAAATTTCAACAACGACGTTACAGTGGCAGTTTACGTTGCACAACAAATCCTCACAGAGGTCAGGGACTGGAGGGAGAGCGTGATGGTGGAGGTTTAACAACAGCGGGAACTCACAATGTGGGACGTTCAAATTCTTTTAGATTCAATAGACCACGTAATGCATTTAGTACATCCTCCAGTTCAGGCTTAAACAGTTTGGGTGTAGTGGGCGGTGTTAGTGCGGGTGGTTTGGTAGGTGAACGTACTTGCAGTGCCACATTAAGCAATAGCAAATTGAGTGGCAGTAGCAGTAGTTTATTGTGTAAACATATTAAATATTGTTGTCTTCACCAGCAGCAACAGCATCAACAGCAACAGCAACAACAACAGCAGAAGAATTTAACACAGACTATACCACCTTGCAGCCAACAACCACAACATCATCTGCAGCAACAACAACAACAACATCAGCACCAGCAATTGTTTCAACAACAACCCTCCGCACACCAACAACAGCCTTCAATACATTATGTACAGAAATCCTATCATCCTGACTACAACAGCAGCAACAATTCCCCACAAATTCCTAATGCCACTTGTTCCCACAACACGAACAATTGTTGCAGTAGTTTAGCAACAGCTGGTGCAGCAGCAGCAACAAATGTCATCAGTACACGTCTTGGACCAGATGGTGAAGATAATGCAACGAGTGGTATGTTAAATAATGGTCTGGCGAATTGTTTAGCCAATGGCCAACTTCATCAACATCATCAACAACAGCCGCCACAGCAACATCATCATCACCAACAACATCAACCATCATCGTCTTCATCATCTTCATCGTCCTCAAACTCTCAACAGAACAACAAGCAACAACCACCAAAACGTCATTCAATTATATGGAACGTGCTTTTGACTTTGGTAAGTGGAGAACATAACATTTCTGCCACTACAAAAAACAGAACTATGCAACAATAAACCTTAAAACAAAAATAACAACTAAATACAATATAACAAAAGAAAATTAGAAGGATGTCCAGCATAGATTATTTTGTAATATTTTAGAAGTGCACTAAAAAAAATTTTAGCTGCAGATGAAATCTGTAATTGTAGTTCAACTTTAGTTCTGGTTCAGTTCTAGTTCTAGTTCTAGTTCAGTCCTAGTTCAGTTTCCAGTTCAGTTCTAATTCAATTCTAGTTCATTTCTAGCTCAGTTCTAGTTCAGTTCTAGTTCAGTTCTAGTTCAGTTCTAGTTCAGTTCTAGTTCAGTTCTAGTTCAGTTCTAGTTCAGTTCTAGTTCGTTCTAGTTCGTCTAGTTCAGTTCTAGTTCAGTTCTAGTTCTAGTTCCAGTTCTAGTTCAGTTCTAGTTCAGTTCTAGTTCAGTTCTAGTTCTAGTTCAGTTCTAGTTCAGTTCTAGTTCAGTCTAGTTCAGTTCTAGTTCAGTTCTAGTTCAGTTCTAGTTCAGTTCTAGTTCAGTTCTAGTTCAGTTCTAGTTCAGTTCTAGTTTCAGTTCTAGTTCAGTTCTAGTTCAGTTCTAGTTCAGTTCTAGTTCAGTTCTAGTTCAGTTCTAGTTCAGTTCTAGTTCAGTTCTAGTTCAGTTCTAGTTCAGTTCTAGTTCAGTTCTAGTTCAGTTCTAGTTCAGTTCTAGTTCAGTTCTAGTTCAGTTCTAGTTCAGTTCTAGTTCAGTTCTAGTTCAGTTCTAGTTCAGTTCTAGTTCAGTTTAGTTCAGTTCTAGTTCAGTTCTAGTTCAGTTCTAGTTCAGTTCTAGTTCAGTTCTAGTTCAGTTCTAGTTCAGTTCTAGTTCAGTTCTAGTTCAGTTCTAGTTCAGTTCTAGTTCAGTTCTAGTTCAGTTCTCGTTCAGTTCTAGTTCAGTTCTAGTTCAGTTCTAGTTCAGTAAGTTCTAGTTCTAGTTCAGTTCTAGTTCAGTTCTAGTTCAGTTCTAGTCAGTCTATAGTCCATATCGTAGTCATTGTATATGAATATTTAATAACAGAATACTTTTAAGTGTGAATCTACTGACATTGACAGAAAAAATAATCTAATCTAAAAAAATCCAAGGACAATATACTCCCCACTCTCGCAGCTAAAGTATTTCAATAGTAGTGTTTTGTAATTTTTTTTTTTATAAGAATTTTGATTCAAATGTTATAATTTGATTCAAACAATAAACGTGTTACGATGAAATAATAAAAAAGAGAATGAAACGAGAGGCGAATTTCAAATCTTCAACACTCATGTCCAGAGCATAGGAAAAGTCTGAAATGGGTATTACAAAAGACTTGGCTGTTAAAAAAGGTTTTTTTGCAAGAATTTTGCTAAACTTGTACGTACTTGTGTTTACAAGAAAAAACACCCACTAAGTCATGCCTGAACATGTCATGAAAAATAATTTTAATTGAATATAGCGGCACTAAGGATGTGAATTAAAGAAAAAATTGAGTTTTAAAGTGTGTTGTGTATGAAAAATAATGAATTTTATTTTATTTGTTTAATTTTGATCATTCTTTCTTAAATTTTAGGGTTCAATAAACAGCTTTCAATTCACGAGCCATTTTTTTATTTACTTTCAGCAAATGTCAGAAAAAGTGTATGAACAATAAAAAGGATTGTATTTGAATATACCAGTATTGTATTAAATTAATATTTTGAGTTTTCCATAGTTATGGAGTTGTATTTTTTTAATGTTTTTTGATTTTCTTGTTGTTGTATGAATTTAAACATAATTTATTTTGACAGACGGTTAAACAATGCAAAATGTACTACATATGTATATATAAAGTAAATTATTGATTTTTTGAATTCGTTTTTTTTAGAAAATAATATATCCGTCATTTACTACAAGACTGGTAGTCTTCTAGTTCTAGTTCAGTTCTAGTTCAGTTCGTGGTTCAGTTCTAGTGTTTCAGTTCTAGTTCAGTTCTAGTTCAGTTCTAGTTCGTTCAGGTGGGCTAGTTCGAGTTTCTAGTTCAGTGTCTAGTTCAGTTCTAGTTCAGTTCTATTCAGTTCTAGTTCAGTTCTAGTTCAGTTCTATTCAGTTCTAGTTCATTCTAGTTCAGTTCTAGTTCAGTTCTAGTTCAGTTCTAGTTCAGTTCTAGTTCAGTTCTAGTTCAGTTCTAGTTCAGTTCTAGTTCAGTTCTAGTTCAGTTCTAGTTCAGTTCTAGTTCAGTTCTAGTTCATTCTAGTTCAGTTCTAGTTCAGTTCTAGTTCAGTTCTAGTTCAGTTCTAGTTCATTCTATAGTTCAGTTCTAGTTCAGTTCTAGTTCAGTTCTAGTTCAGTTCTAGTTCAGTTCTAGTTCAGTTCTAGTTCAGTTCTAGTTCAGTTCTAGTTCAGTTCTAGTTCAGTTCTAGTTCAGTTCTAGTTCAGTTCTAGTTCAGTTCTAGTTCAGTTCTAGTTCAGTTCTAGTTCAGTTCTAGTTCAGTCTAGTTCAGTTCTAGTTTCGTTCTAGTTCAGTTCTAGTTCAGTTCGAGTTCAGTTCTAGTTCAGTTCTAGTTCAGTTCTAGTTCAGTTCTAGTTCAGTTCTAGTTCAGTTCTAGTTCAGTTTCTAGTTCAGTTCTAGTTCAGTTCTAGTACATTCTAGTTCAGTACTAGTTCAGTTCAATTTCTAGTATATTCACTAGAATTTCTTTTTTATAAAAAGTTTTTTGTTTTCTTGTTTTTTTACTTTTTTTAAATTGTTTACGTTTTTTTGTATTTTTTTCCTAGAAAATTACCAGAATTTTTAATCAATTTATCTCATTTGTTAACCACTCATGTATTTAGGGCAAAACTTTGTTATAATGTATCAACGACATATTATCTTAATTATCTATATTTAATTTTTATTTATGTTAAATATGCCTTAAATGATTTAAACACTAATTAAAACTGCAACGCGATATGAAATTGTGAAAAACATTTTAAATTCATTAACACATTTGTTAAAAAATATATTATATTTTCCATTGAAAACAATAAATATTGTTTTATATGTATGAACAAATAATAACAAGTTTTTTTTTTTTGCTAAGTACAAAATTTTCAACCAACAAAAGAACACTAATTTACACAACAACAAGTAGCAATTCTATACAAAACGTATTTTCAATAATAAAAGAATAGAATTGTAAACAAGCTAACGGAATCAGTGGTGTGGTTCAGGTGTCTCGACTCCTGAACCATCAGTCCATTTATTCTACATACATATGTATATAGAAACAATATGCCCGTTGATTATAATAAACAATATTATTGCAAATATTGAAAGTCTGAAAACATTAAAGAGAAACGATCAAATGAAATAAAACAAATACATATTTATATACATATATTTTGTGTACATTTTCATCAATACATTTTTCATTAGATTTTCGAGTGGCAAGAAAAAACAAGTACAATAAAAACTCTTTTAAAATAAATTTGTATGAAAATCAAATATTTATGAAAGAACAAAATGCTACAAATATGGAACGCTATAGAAAGACAAACAGGTTTAGTTGGGGGATTGTTTCAAAGCTCTAGAGACACATTTTATTGCCAGACATCCTTTCCAATACCTCGATCTATATTAAACAAACCGTTAAATAAAACAAAGTAAAGAACACTATCAAAATGTGACCCAAAACCTAAATTTGGTTACAATAACCAGAATAATGTTATAATATTTACGAATCGCTGTAGAGTATTATACAAAATAAAATTTGAAGAATAGAATTTGAAATACAAATACAAAATTTGAATGAAATTTAAATAAATTTGCTGACAAATTTCCTTTAATGATTTTACATTTTTTATGTAAAACTGTTTCAATAAATTTTAATAAAAATTAAATTAACTTGAAGAGAACGGTTTATAATTTAATTTTGATAGGATTCCTATCTGGTTCACAATAAATTTAAAAATGTTTAATAAATTTAGAAAAATTACTCTCTTTGTAGAAAGTGTTCAATAACTTCTCTCTCTTTTGAAAACATTTTCTTTTTGTTAAAACATTATTTATAAATTCATTGACTTTTCTCTTCTCTTTGAGAAAAAACTTGTTTTCTTTCCTTTTTAAATTTTCTATAAATTTTTTGTCTCGATAAATTTTATTTTTGTGGAAAAATTTCGATAAATTTTATATTATATAGAAAATTTCGATAATTTTTTTTCTCCTTTAAAAAAATTTCGATAAATTTTACCTTTAATAGACAAATTTCGATAAATTTTATATTTGTAGAAAGTTTTCTTTGTAAAAAAAAATTCGATAAATTTTCTCATTTTATAGAAAAATTTCGATAATTTTATATAGAATTTTCTTAAATTTCGATAAATTTTGTTTTTGAAGAAAATGTTCTTTGTAAAAACATTCTGATAAATTTCTCTTTTTATAGAAAAATTTCAATTCTAGTTCAATTCTAGTTCAGTTCTAGTTCAGTTCTAATTCAGTTCTAGTTCAGTTCTAGTTCAGTTCTAGTTCAGTTCTAGTTCAGTTCTAGTTCAGTTCTAGTTCAGTTCTAGTTCAGTTCTAGTTCAGTTCTAGTTCAGTTCTAATTCAGTTCTAGTTCAGTTCTAGTTCAGTTCTAGTTCAGTTCTAGTTCAGTTCTAGTTCAGTTCTAGTTCAGTTCTAGTTCAGTTCTAGTTCAGTTCTAGTTCAGTTCTAGTTCAGTTCTAGTTCAGTTCTAGTTCAGTTCTAGTTCAGTTCTAGTTCAGTTCTAGTTCAGTTCTAGTTCAGTTCTAGTTCAGTTCTAGTTCAGTTCTAGTTCAGTTCTAGTTCAGTTCTAGTTCAGTTCTAGTTCAGTTCTAGTTCAGTTCTAGTTCAGTTCTAGTTCAGTTCTAGTTCAGTTCTAGTTCTAGTTCAGTTCTAGTTCAGTTCTAGTTCTAGTTCAGTTCTAGTTCAGTTCTAGTTCAGTTCTAGTTCAGTTCTAGTTCAGTTCTAGTTCAGTTCTAGTTCAGTTCTAGTTCAGTTCTAGTTCAGTTCTAGTTCAGTTTTAGTTCTTTGTATATTATTTTCAATTCTTATAGAAAAATTCCGATAAAGTGTCACTTTATAGTTTAGAAAAATTTTAAAAATTTTGTTTTTTTTTTAATATTTTACTTACTTTCGTTTATTTTTCTCTTTTTACTTCTGCTTCCTTTCGCCCTGAATACCCCTTATACTTCTACTTATATTTAAAAAAATATTTATAGGATTAAAAACAGTTACAACTTTTTGTTTATGAACACAAAATGTTTTGAGTTGTATTTGTTTGTTTAAACATACAAGCACATACATAAATAAAACACAACTATAGTCCTACATCTGTATAAATCGTGTCAATATTTTGCAACATGTGCATGTTTATGCATGCATGTTTATACGTGCTCATTTACTACAATAAAAGGTTACTATACTCAGTACACATAAATAATGTTTTCTAACACACGATTATATGAAATGTGAGTTTTTGTTGCTTTTTCTCATTTTAGTGGCATGTTGGAGTAAATGAAATTTGTAAAACACTGAGAAAAATCCAAAAAACCTATTCGAAATGATACGTTTTTAAAGTAATTTTAGAGCAAATTGTAATTATGCGAAAGATTTTTTCTATGTACATATGTATGTATTTCAACTACTTAAATTTAAGCATGAGTTTTAAAAAATTTTTGGCAGACATTTATGTATGAAATGTAGTTTTGTACAAATACAGACGTTTTCAAAAGAGCAACGTACACATAATTGTACGTGTATACATAAACATGTAGCAGCGCTCGCTATAGTTTTATAAACAAATACATTTTTAGAGAAATAAAAAAAAAAAAAACAGAAATGTCAGCATAAAAAATTTGTAGATGAAAGAAACATTTCACTTTGTGAAAAAATGGAAAATTTCATTTGAAAGCATGAACGTCATGTTTCAGAAAAAACTTAAACCTAAACACTGATACATAAAACAGCATTTACCACCTAAATGTTTTGAAAAGAAATGTTTAAAAATTGTTTTCTCAATCTAACGAAAATAATACAACAAATGTATAGCAATTTCGTCACTTTCATTGAAATAGTGATACATTTTTAAAAATGAACTGAACTAGAAATGAATAGGAACTGAACTAGAACTGAACTAGAACGTGAACTAGAACTGAACTAGAAGACTAGAACTGAACTAGAACTGAATAAGAATGAAACTAGAACCTGACCTAGAACGAACTAGAACTGAACTAGAACTGAACTAGAACTGAACTAGAACTGACTAGACATGCTGAACTAGAACTGAACTAGAACTGAATATAACTGAACTAGAACTGAACTAGAATGAACTAGAACTGAACTAGAACTGAACTAGAACTGAACTAGAACTGAACTAGGAACTGACAGAACTGAACTAGAACTTAACTAGCTGAATAGAATGAACTAGAACTGAACTAGAAAACTGAACTCGACTGAACTAGAACTGGAACTAGAACTGAACTAGAACTGAACTAGAACTGAACTAGAACTGAACTAGAACTGAACTAGAACTGAACAGAACTGAACTAGAACTGAACTAGAACTGAACTAGAACTGAACTAGAACTGAACTAGAACTGAACTAGAACTGAACTAAACTGAAACTAGAACTGAACTAGAACTGAACTAGAACTGAAACTAGAACTGAACTATAACTGAACTAGAACTGAACTAGAACTGAACTAGAACTGAACTAGAACTGAACTAGAACTGAACTAGAACTGACTAGAACTGAACTAGAACTGAACTAGAAAGAATGAAAAAAGAGAACTGAACTAGAACTGAACTAGAAACTGAACTAGAACTGAACTAGAACTGAACTAGAACTGAACTAGAACTGAACTAGAACTGAACTAGAACTGAACTAGAACTGAACTAGAACTGAACTAGAACTGAACTAGAACTGAACTAGACTGAACTAGAACTGAACTAGAACTGAACTAGAACTGACTAGAACTGAACTAGAACTGAACTAGATGAACTAGAACTGAACTAGAACTGAACTAGAACTGAACTAGAACTGAACTGAACTAGAACTGAACTAGAACTGAACTAGAACTGAACTAGAACTGAACTAGAACTGAACTAAACTGAACTAGAACTGAACTAGAACTGAACTAGAACTGAACTAGAACTAGAACTGAACTAGACTGAACTAGAACTGAACTAGAACTGAACTAGAACTGAACTAGAACTGAACTAGAACTGAACTGAACTAGAACTGACTAGAACTGAACTAAACTGAACTAGAACTGAACTAGAACTGAACTAGAACTGAACTAGAACTGAACTAGAACTGAACTAGAACTGAACTAGAACTGAACTAGAACTGAACTAGAACTGAACTAGAACTGAACTAGAACTGAACTAGAACTGAACTAGAACTGAACTAGAACTGAACTAGAACTGAACTAGAACTGAACTAGAACTGAACTAGAACTGAACTAGAACTGAACTAGAACTGAACTAGAACTGAACTAGAACTGAATTAGAACTGAACTAGAACTGAATTAGAACTGAACTAGAACTGCACTAGAACTGAACTAGAACTGAGCCAATACTGAACTTGTTCAACCAATTTTCTCGCTTTGGTTTATTGTTATGTTTACTAGCAATTATTTAGACATTTTACCAACAAACATAAATTTGTAATTGACCTCACAAACCATTTATACAATTTTAAAGATCTTTTTAGAGTTCTATTCATAAACAACACAAAGGGAAGATAAGTAGCACACAAAACATAACATAAATTGAATATACAATATCAGTTTCTATCATCTTATTTAAGTGACACATTTAAACATTTTTCAATTTTCAGATGCCAGTTGTGATGAAAGTGATACCATCAGTACAACATCATCAACACCAACTACAACAAATATTCCCTACAATATTCTAAAACCAATTTTAAAACAACCACAACAGCAGCAACAAAATGTTCATCAAATACATGTGGTACAACAAAACTCCTCCACAACCATACAACCGAAATCAATACTAAAAGACAATAGTCAGCATCAACAGCAGCAACAGCAATTGCAACAATTGCAGCAGCTACAGCAGCAACAACAACAAATACATCGAACATTACCACAACCACCTAAAAATGCTGGCCTGGGTGCATTTCATACAAAAGAGACAGCATTACAAAGAATCCAACAACAAAGTGGTCTACTACATGGCAGTCGTACAAATCTATCAAATTTATGTGGAGCAAATACTCTAGGACCAATTACAAACGGCAACAACAATAAATCATTATTCATCATCAACGTCACAACCAACATCAGCCACACCATATGGCAACAGCAGCAGTAATACAGGAGTAGTTGGGGGTATGATCGGTGCCAATCGTAGTTGCAGTACCTTCAATATGACCACAATTGGCATGGGTAGCAGTGCAGGAGTTTCTTCTTGTAGCTCTGGTAATAATGTTACTAATGGAACATTTGCCTCTGGCTCTGGATTTATGGAATTACATTCACCCTCTCATGTGGGTGGTGGAGGACTAATGTCAGCCACAGGTTTTAATAAACTAAACGAAACTTTACTCAACACACATGCAAATAGTTTGAGTACCTCGTCAACGAGAAATAATCTACAATCGATAAGAGCACAAAAGTCACCCATCTTAAATAGAAGACGTTCATCGTCGATTGTGGCAAATCTTCTTACAGCTGATTTTACCTACAATCAAACGTCGGCATCTACACCCTCGTCAGCAACGGCAAATTCCATAACAGGGGGCAACAAAAATATGAATGATGTTACCCATGTGGGCACTTTATCTCACAGTAATACACGGTAAGTAGCTGCTATTTTTCATTAGAATATTTCTTTTGTATTTTATCAAAAGTTTAAATTACAATTTTCAATGACTTTGTTTATCCATTTGCCAAGGTCCTTCGTATTGCTACACTTCATTTAAGCCTTACAACGTTAAAGAGGCTTCGTTGTAACAACTATATTTTGTAAACGTGTGAACAACAATTGCATCATTATTGAAGATTATTTTTTTTCCTTTTTCACCAATGTCCTTTGGCACATAAAATGCAATCTTTGTAATGTAATCAGATTGCTTTTGTAGTGTTTTATAAGGAAGAGAGAGTGTTTTTTTTTTTTGTTGATACAAAGATGCTTAACAAAATTAGAAATAGGTGCAAAAGAAAAATATTAATCAAGGTTCCAGGGGGGGGGGGGCTTATATGTAAATAAAAGCTTTACAGAAACCTTTGAACTAATTAAGACTTAAAGAAAGTTGCCTTTATTGAGGTAATTTATAATTTTTGAAATTATGGTTTTGTTTTTAATGTTTTTATTATTTTTTTAACCGTGAATATTAACACAAGTATAAGGCGTATACTTAATATTTAATTAAACATGTATTAAGTATACGTTTATGGAGTAATGAAAGCTTTGTTATTTTACCCTTAACTACTAAATCAAAAATGACATGAACTAGAACAGAACTAGAACAGAACTAGAATAGAACTAGAACAGAACTAGAACAGAACTAGAACTATAACAGAACTAGAACAGAACTAGAACAGAACTAGAACAGAACTAGAACAGAACTAGAACAGAACTAGAACAGAACTAGAACAGAACTAGAACGGAACTAGAACAGAACTAGAACAGAACTAGAACAGAACTAGAACTAGAACAGAACTAGAACAGAACTAGAACAGAACTAGAACAGAACTAGAACAGAACTAGAACAGAACTAGAACAGAACTAGAACAGAACTAGAACAGAACTAGAACAGAACTAGAACAGAACTAGAACAGAACTAGAACAGAACTAGAACAGAACTAGAACAGAACTAGAACAGAACTAGAACAGAACTAGAACAGAACTAGAACAGAACTAGAACAGAACTAGAACAGAACTAGAACAGAACTAGAACAGAACTAGAACAGAACTAGAACAGAACTAGAACAGAACTAGAACAGAACTAGAACAGAACTAGAACAGAACTAGAACAGAACTAGAACAGAACTAGAACAGAACTAGAACAGAACTAGAACAGAACTAGAACAGAACTAGAACAGAACTAGAACATAACTAGGACAGAACTAGGACAGAACTAGAACAGAACTAGAACAGAACTAGAACAGAACTAGAACAGAACTAGAACAGAACTAGAACAGAACTAGAACAGAACTAGAACGGAACTAGAACGGAACTAGAACGGAACTAGAACAGAACTAGAACAGAACTAGAACTAGAACAGAACTAGAACAGAACTAGAACAGAACTAGAACAGAACTAGAACAGAACTAGAACAGAACTAGAACAGAACTAGAACAGAACTAGAACAGAACTAGAACAGAACTAGAACAGAACTAGAACAGAACTAGAAACAGAACTAGAACAGAACTAGAACAGAACTAGAACAGAACTAGAACAGAACTAGAACAGAACTAGAACAGAACTAGAACAGAACTAGAACAGAACTAGAACAGAACTAGGACAGAAACTAGAACAGGACTAGAACAGAACTAGAACAGAACTAGAACAGAACTAGAACAGAAACTAGAACAGAACTAGAACAGAACAGAACTAGAACAGAACTAGAACAGAACTAGAACAGAACTAGAACAGAACTAGAACAGAACTAGAACAGAACTAGAACAGAACTAGAACAGAACTAGAACAGAACTAGAACAGAACTAGAACAGAACTAGAACAGAACTAGAACAGAACTAGAACAGAACTAGAACAGAACTAGAACAGAACTAGAACAGAACTAGAACAGAACTAGAACAGAACTAGAACAGAACTAGAACAGAACTAGAACAGAACTAGAACAGAACTAGAACAGAACTAGAACAGAACTAGAACAGAACTAGAACAGAACTAGAACAGAACTAGAACAGAACTAGAACGAACTAGAACAGAACTAGAACAGAACTAGAACAGAACTAGAACAGAACTAGAACAGAACTAGAACAGAACTAGAACAGAACTAGAACAGAACTAGAACAGAACTAGAACAGAACTAGAACAGAACTAGAACAGAACAGAACAGAACTAGAAAAGACCTAGAACAGAACTATAAATTTCTTGTTGAACAGAGTTTTAAATTGCATTTCACTTTATGTTTTTAAATCCCTAATAACTTTGATTTCAATAAACTAATTTAATTAAACAAACCGTATAAATAAAAATTTTTTTTCTATTTGAAAGTAAATCAATTGTAGCGAAAAAAACAAAACAACAACTGAAATTCACACAGGAAGAAAGAAAACAAAATAAATCAATAAAATAAATTAAAATATTTTTGTTCGCCACCCACACAGATATATTTAAATATTATAGAAACCGTGTTAAACACAAACTCACATACGTATGTATATATTTGCAAATGTGTTTGAAAATGATTTGGAAAAGAAAATTAATTATTAATTTTAAATTTTAAACATTTTTATGACAGCAAGACGCGTCAGTGTCATGAAAAGAGAGCTACAATATTTAATTAAAGTTGAGACTTAAGTATTACTTTCTTAACTCTAGGAAAAAAAATAATTAAACATTTTTTATGGAAAGCAATATCAGACAAAGTAGCATTCATTATACCTGGATGACATTATTAACTGAAAGTTTAATGTTTCTTCCTTTAATTTTAATTTTCTATTATATTTCAACGTTACGCTTAAGAAAAATTAAAACAATTTTTACTCTTGATTAAATTGCAACATTTTAGCTCTTTGTTGCATTTCTTTTAATATTTGTTGTTAAAGTTTTCCTGTAAATTTTTTCATTCTCAAAACATTGTCGTCGTTTTTTATTAATATTATCGATGTGGTTGTTGCTGCAGCTGTTATTGCGGTAATTCATAATTTGCATGTTGCACAACATTGCTTAAGATTATGGTTGTACATTGGTGCCACAAGTACTTACAACATAGTACATAAATGGGCGTAAGTGAGGGAGGCGTTTTACAGAAATCAGTAACATGCAAAAAAGTTTTTATTCCCGTCTATGACTAAAAGAGTGAAAAACACTGTAAAATGTAACGCGTAGTTAAATTCATATAAAAGTAATAATACAAGAAAAGAGTAAAAAACTTTGTTATAAAAGCTTAGGCTGATTATTACGGGTTTTCTGTGCGTTTTTTCTTTTTTGTTGTATAATATTTTACTTTAATATAAATAGCGGAAACGGAAACAACTGCCATGGCTTAACAACCGCATATAAAAGAAATCCTACTTCAGATACGATGTAGTAATGAAACTACTACTAAACGTACCAACAGTACATTAACATCAACTGAACTATTTAGAACAGAAGTACTTAACACTGAACAAGAACTGAACTAGAACTCAACTCGAACTGAACTAGAATTAAACTAGAACTAGTTCAGAACTGAACTAGAACTGAACTAGAACTGAACTAGAACTGAACTGAACTGAACTAGAACTGAACTAGAACTGAACTAGAACTGAACTAGAACTGAACTAGAACTGAACTAGAACTGAACTAGAACTGAAACTAGAAACTGAACTAGAACTGAAATAGAACTGAACTAGAACTAGAACTGAACTAGAACTGAACTAGAACTGAACTAGAACTGAACTAGAACTGAACTAGAACTGAACTAGAACTGAACTAGAACTGAACTAGAACTGAACTAGAACTGAACTAGAACTGAACTAGAACTGAACTAGAACTGAACTAGAACTGAACTAGAACTGAACTAGAACTGAACTAGAACTGAACTAGAACTGAACTAGAACTGAACTAGAACTGAACTAGAACTGAACTAGAACTGAACTAGAACTGAACTAGAACTGAACTAGAACTGAACTAGAACTGAACTAGAACTGAACTAGAACTGAACTAGAACTGAACTAGAACTGAACTAGAACTGAACTAGAATGAACTAGAACTGAACTAGAACTGAACTAGAACTGAACTAGAACTGAACTAGAACTGAACTAGAACTGAACTAGAACTGAACTAGAACTGAACTAGAACTGAACTAGAACTGAACTAGAACTGAACTAGAACTGAACTAGAACTGAACTAGAACTGAACTAGAACTGAACTAGAACTGAACTAGAACTGAACTAGAACTAGAACTGAACTAGAACTGAACTAGAACTGAACTAGAACTGAACTAGAACTGAACTAGAACTGAACTAGAACTGAACCTAGAACTGAACGTGTAGGAGTTTTTTAATAAAAAACTCAATCTGTCGTAATTGTCTGATAACACACTGTAAACTTACTTAAGAGCACGACAACAAAATGTTTTAAAACTAATTCAAGTTTTGTTTTGTAAATTGCAACTAAAAGTTGGAAACAACATTTTCTGGTGCGTGCCATTGTTGCACTTTCTACTTTCTTTAGTTTTTTTCTCTTTCAAATCATCACAAAAGCTAAAAGACTGTAATTATTTTAGTTTAAACTAATTAAAATTAACATTTTTGTTTGCACAATAACATTCAAAGAAACAAATATTTAATTGGAATATGACGGCCTGAATGCGGTAGCGAGGGTGTTAAAAATGAATGATTTTAAAGAAATAATGATTATTTTTAATTAAGTATGTAAATATATATGAAACTATAAAATTTTTAAAATTTTACCATTTCTAATACTACAAATCATTATAAAATGAAATTAAATTTGTTTGGTTTGTATTTAATTTAATTAAATTTTTCCTTTTTCTGTTAATAACAGTGATCGCATTGCTTTAGTAAAATCACCTGTGACACATACGAAACCTTCACGCATGAATTTGATACCAGTTGACACAGGTGGTGTTTTAACATTTCAACAAGCCATGTCAGGTGCTGTTTCACCTCAATACTCGGCAGCCACCTCACCCCTCTATGCACCCAACTCCATGGTTGGTAGTAGCATTAATAGTCACTTGCCCTCATCAGCCTCTGCAGCGGCTGTTGCTGCTGCCAATGCCACAAACTCAACAGAACTTGACATGTTGCTCGAGGATACAACATCAACAGCATCACCCACATCAACAGTGTGTTGTGGTGATGGCAGACCACCGAATGGACCATATGTGGCCGATACACCAACTGGAGATTGTGGTAGTGGCATGAGAACTAGAAATGACCACCAGTTTCCCCATGCAGATGGTGACTTGGATTCACCTACTGCTATGCCCCATGAACGTATAGCGGGTGTTGGTTCGAGTCTTATACATGGAGGCAGTTCAGCAACGATTGCTCAATTGGGCAGCAGGCAAAGGCAACGTATGCGCACCTCGAGCATGCCAGCAGAGAGTAGAAAGGTAAGTTTTGTCGGTTTTGTTTTTACCTTTTGTTGAAGATATAAATTGCTCTGTTTTCAGGTTTTTGTTTTTCTTTTCCATTTTTTTTTTGCTTTTTGTTGTTTTTTTTTTTTTTTGTTCATGTTTGACTAATCCTTGAATACGTAATTTTCTATCCTGTTTGGCTTTCTTTTTTATTTATTTTCTCGTTTCGTTGTTTGTGTAATAAAGACAAACAAGCTACATATAAACAAAATGGATGGGGGACTTAAAAGTTATTAAGTGACCATAAATTGTAATAAAATAGTTTTTAAATATTTTATGATACATGTTATGTTAGCTTTTAAAACATTGAAGAGAAGATTTATTTTGTTCATAAAAGTGTTTAATGATTTCGGAAATATTTATATTGCTTAAAGAAAATGAAGGAATAATATTTTTAAATAATTTTAAGAACAGTTATTCCTACATTTCAGTGGCATTAAAATATTTAAAAATTATGTAAAAGATTTCCTTAGCAGTTTTATATGATTGGAAAATAGAATAGAATAGAAGTAAAAATCAAAATCCCTAAAAGAATGTAAACTGAACTGAAAAAACCTAACTTTGAACAAAGACATTAGATTTTGAGTAAACATATAAAAGTGATGTAGTCGACTGTATCGCAGCTTATATACCCTTCAATACATTTTAAAAACAAGTAAAAAGTATAGTCGGGCATGGCTGACTGTATGTTACCCTACACCAGTTATGATTGTACATATTTAATTTTTATTTATTTCTTATAAAAAATATTGATGTTGATTCCTTAATTCCGATGTCAATATTTGAGGACTTTATGCATGAAAAACTAATTTTTTGAAAATGGCTTCATATGTGAGATGGGTTTAAAAAAGGGTCGATTCTCATAAGATTTGAAGGAGAAATTTACTTTTAAATAAAATTTAACTATTCCGAATTTCGATACTAATGGTCATAAAGCAATTATGGACATTTAAGGCATATTTTAAAGACAGTTTTTAAGAGGGCTAGGGTGAGATAAGATATACTACTATATTTGTCGTAGTTATGAGATAAAAAGTCCAATTTGGGTGGTTCGATTGTATGGGGGATAGGTGAACAAATGGGCCGATTTCAACCATTTGCAATAGGACCAAATAATACGCATGGTCCAATAACACCTATGTTCCAAATTTCATAATAATATCGTTGAAAATTGCTAGTTAGTTAGTTAGTTAGTTAGTTAGTTAGTTAGTTAGTTAGTTAGTTAGTTAGTAGTTAGTTAGGTTAGTAGTTAGTTAGTTAGTTAGTTAGTTAGTTAGTTAGTTAGTTAGTTAGTTAGTAGTTAGTTAGTTAGTTAGTTAGTTAGTTAGTTAGTTAGTTAGTTAGTTAGTTAGTTAGTTAGTTAGTTAGTTAGTTAGTTAGTTAGTTAGTTAGTTAGTTAGTTAGTTAGTTAGTTAGTTAGTTAGTTAGTTAGTTAGTTAGTTAGTTAGTTAGTTAGTTAGTTAGTTAGTTAGTTAGTTAGTAGTTAGTTAGTTAGTTAGTAGTTAGTTAGTTAGTTAGTTAGTTAGTTAGTTAGTTAGTTAGTTAGTTAGTTAGGTAGTTAGTTAGTTAGTTAGTTAGTTAGTTAGTTAGTTAGTTAGTTAGTTAGTAGTTAGTTAGTTAGTTAGTTAGTTAGTTAGTTAGTTAGTTAGTTAGTTAGTTAGTTAGTTAGTTAGTTAGTTAGTTAGTTAGTTAGTTAGTAGTTAGTTAGTTAGTTAGTTAGTTAGTTAGTAGTTAGTTAGTTAGTTAGTTAGTAGTTAGTTAGTTAGTTAGTTAGTTAGTTAGTTAGTTAGTTAGTTAGTTAGTTAGTTAGTTAGTTAGTTAGTTAGTTAGTTAGTTAGTTAGTTAGTTAGTTAGTTAGTTAGTTAGTTAGTTAGTTAGTTAGTTAGTTAGTAGTTAGTAGTTAGTAGTTAGTTAGTTAGTTAGTTAGTTAGTTGTTAGTTAGTTAGTTAGTTAGTTAGTTAGTTAGTTAGTAGTTAGTTAGTTAGTTAGTTAGTTAGTTAGTAGTTAGTTAGTTAGTTAGTAGTTAGTTAGTTAGTTAGTTAGTTAGTTAGTTAGTTAGTAGTTAGTTAGTTAGTAGTTAGTTAGTTAGTTAGTTAGTTAGTTAGTTAGTTAGTTAGTTAGTTAGTTAGTTAGTTAGTTAGTGCTATGGCCAATACCTGAAAAGTTACACTCATTTGAATATGACGATAATGTCCAACTTTGAACCCCCCAAAGTCCGGAAGTTTTTGACCGATAGAGCTGAAAATTAGTATCTGACCTACTATCTAATTGTACTAACCTTAGTGCAAATTTCGTCAAAATCGATTTTTTTGAGTTGGGTCATTTGACATGAAATTTCTCATATGCATAATAGCAGGTCATTCACTACTCAGCATTATTATTTGTTATTTCATAGTTGTGAAAGTTGTGCAATTTTATTCCTGCGTGGTGACTTCAGTAAGAGGTGCAAATATTTATTTCATCAATTTTATTTTCAATTTCCAATTACAATTTTTTTTTATTTTTAATTAAAATTGCGTTTTCCTTCTTCGTAATATGTGTGTTAAAAGTACATATATGTACATTGAATAAAATTGACTTTTCATTTTTCAAATTAATTTAAACTCAATTTAATTTGTGTATTGTATGTAAAACTATAAAAATAATGTACAAAGAGAAAAAGTAAGAGTTCTATATTCGACCATAACGAATCTTATATACCAACCATCAAAATATTGTCATACATACATATGTATATCGATATTAATGTGAAAAGTTTGCTGATTCTTAGGTTTATAAGGATTTGGATTAGTTATGACTTGAACTCATAATATTTAGAAATAGTATTATAAAATTTCTAATAACAAATCATTTGTAGTAGACAGATTTTTATCTATAAAAACCTTTTTCTGTCAAATGTCATCATCAAATTAATTAATCGGTTAATCAATGTATGTCTAACTATATGGTACCCAAACCTCCATTTGCATAAGTAAGTTTTTTCGAAGATATACCTACATATATATGTACATACATATGTATCTGAACTTTAGTGTCAAGTTTCTGAAATAATTTTGTCGGAATACCAGCTGAATGAATGTGATTTTATTACAAGTTCTACATAAACATCAGCTCAAACTACCCGCTATAAAAGGTGTAGATTTTAAAAATACAAATCATTTATATGTACACATACAATGAAGAAATATATTTGCATTTAGCATACTCACCATTTAGTACATGTAGTATGACTGTACGCGGTTCACTGTTGGATGGACTGCATGTGTAATTTCCAGAATCTTGTTTTTGTACTGATGGTATAATTAATGAAGCAGTCTGTAATTGAAATAAAATATATACATACAAAAATAAATAAATATACATACATACAAATGTTACGTCAATATTTATCTTTAAATGAGAGGGTTTACAACATAAATTTTCAATTCTTAGCCATATATAGCACTGGCCAACAAATGTTTAAATCAGGAGCCAAAGTAAACTTCTCTAAAGTACTGAGCAACGTTGAATCCATATCTCGGGAGAAGCAATAACAAAAAATATGGTTTAACATCTTAATATTTCCTATAATTTTTATATTAATAATTAATTTACGTTAATTAAATATTTAATTGAACCAATCAAAATTTCTAATAGAATTTTAAATTTTTTCTATCTACCTAGTTCAAATAGAAATTCCTACTAGTAGTTTATAAAATCACCTTTATTTTCACTTTTAAATATGTTGTCGCATTAAGTTAAATAAAATTATTGATGCTCTACTTTTAGTTGTTATAAAAAAACCTTTTTAAATTCGTTTAAGTAGTTCAACATGACATTCCTTTTATTTTTTTCAACACAAACATTTAGCAATTTCTACTTTCAATAGATTTTTTTCCAAACTTTTTGACATTGTTGATAGAGGGAAAAGTAAACTAAACGAAACCTCAAAACGAAACGTAATTTAATTTAATGACATATGTAAATATTCATGATAAAAATGAGAAAAAAATACTTTATGTACTAAAATTCATAAAAGGTACATTAAACAAAATAGTGAGTTTATAAAATTATATATGATATTTCAACAAGATGTGTTATTTAATAACATAATGCAATACGAAAAATATAAACATATACTGACACCACTACGTAATAAATGGTCAAAAAATATATCCGTGTGTCATAGTCATGCACTTTTTTATGGGCCCCCAAGATTTGGGGTATCGATGTCATTTTTGCAAAAAGTGTTAATTTTCTCATATCTAGCAAACCGTTCATTTTACTTGTCATAAAAATCATATAAAATCGCAAAAAACTTAAAAAAAATCAATTTTTTTACTTTTCTAAATAAGGCGTATACTTAATATTTGTAATATCAATAAATCATTAACACGTATACGTACAGATGTCCTTAATGAAAGAAATTTATTAATTCGAAATATAAAACTTTCCACTTGAAATGAAAGGATCATCAGTTTTTGCAACTTTCTTGATTGAACGACTATTTGAGGATTCTTTTATCTTCTTCTTCTATATATAAAAAAGAGTAGCGTTACTGACTGACTGATTCATCATCGCACAGCCCAAACTGCTGAAACTAGAATCATGAAATTTTGAGAGTAGATGTGTTTTTGGTTATGTAGATCCACTAAGGAGGGATTTTTGGAAATTTGTACATTTAGGGTTAAACAGGTTTTCTTAATTTTCTTACTTAATATTAGTGACACAAGAAATTTAAAAAAAATTTATACAAAAATTTAAATGCACCTCAACTCATAAAATGAGCAGATAGGTGTCTGGTATTTTTTGAAATTCGTAATTTTAAGGGGTGAAAATGTGTAACAAAGGTGATTTTGGTACCCTTTTTGGCACTTTATAACTTTTTTACTAATAAACAAAATAACACTTTTGTAACTATTTTAAATATATCTCCCATAATTAGGAGACACCTGTTTCGTACTTTTTTAAAATTCAACCCCTTTGTGGTTGTAAAAGGGAGAAAACTGTATTTTTGGTACTTTTTTTAGCACATTAAGAAAACTTTTTTCGATTTATTGAAGTATTCCTATTAAATTACGTACTAACTCTGCAATATTTATTGCAACAAAATGTTTGCTATTTCACTGGGGAAAAAAGTACCAAAAAGGGGAAAAACGCTAAATACGGAATATTTTGTAAACTTAATTCTCAAAAAATATATATTTCTAAGCAAAAAGGAGAAAAATTGTACCATTTTTATTAGTACTTTCCACTAAGGTAGAATTTATTCCACTTTTGGTACTTTTTCTTTCTTCAAATGATACTCTTTGTATGTTCTATAATATGAATTCAAAACACATGATTATTAAACATACACGGTCCTCATTGAATAAGATTCTTTAAGAGAGAACTTTTTAGTACTTTTTATCTCATAAATGGTACTTTTAGAATTTTCTAAAATATTCAACCTATAAACATAAATTTTAACATACATACTGAATAATATTCTGTAAGAGGGAATTCTGGTACTTTTCCATTCATCAAATGGTACCTTTTGAATTCTCTATACTGGTTAACCGGAACACATGACACACGGTCCTTATTAAATGATAATTTATTAAGAGATATTTTTGTACTTTTTCGTTTTTCCGATGGTTCTTTTTGATATTTTACGATATTGAACATAGAAATATAAAAATTAAAACGTAGGGACCTTAGTGTATGAGAATTTATTGAAAGGGACTTTTGGTACTTTTTAATTCATCAAATTATATTTTTTGAATTGTATAAAATATTGAACACAGAAACATACAATTTTTGATTAAAGGGGAATCTAAAAGAGCTATTATATAGTACTTTTTTCAAATAGTACTTTCGATATTTTCTATAATGTTGAAGCTAAACGAATGAAACTAAAAATACAAGCTTCTTACTGAATGCGAATTTTTTCACGTGACATTGAACGTAATCAATTTTAATTTTCTATAAAAGTAGACAAAATTTTTTATGTATTTAATTTTGGTTAGTGTAGCGAAGCATCCAGGGCATGCTAGTTAAAATATATGTGGAAAACAATTGAAATGTTCATACATTTTTTCTTCTTTTAACGTGATTACAAATTGGCACAAATGAGACAATTTACACTTATTTTCAAAGTCTTGCCATGTACGTGATTAAACTAACTTGGTTACAAGTTAGTGGATAAAGTTCATGAGACTTGCTCTCCAATGATCAGTACTTATGATGTAACACTACCGGCGAGCACTACAAAGCCATGGCTACGATGTTTTTATGAGCTAAATGGAGGATATATACTAATTGAATGATCTTCAGTTTCAGCAGAATGGTGCATCAAATCACAAAGCTGATGAAATCATCTATATTTTGCCCATTAGTTCAGAAATCGTATAATAAACCATCTTGTTCTACATCAAATCTGGCATTTTATTCCTTCAAATTTTTTCTTGTGGAGTGTCATCAGAGGCCGATGTTGTTAGAATAAACTAGAAACGATTTACATCCTAAGGTCTATTATCGTTTGAACTGTTCGTGAGATAAAATTGGACCGACAGGATAATCTACTGTTGTGATCATAAAATATAACAAACGTTAAAATTTATTTAAATAATTTCGAAAATAAATTCAAAACGTTATGCAAACATATGAAAAATATTATAGCATAAAAATTAACAACAACAATGAAGGAAAAGTATAAAAAAAAATATAATGGAAAAAAATGTAAAATCAATTACCGTAATCTGCTTAACATCAGTAAATGTCATCAATGATGACAACATCATGTAGCCCCTTCCTGCTGCTATTGCTTCAGCTGTTTCAAACGTTGTTGCCGATGGATTTGTTTTATAGTCATCCTCATCATCGTCGTCGACAACAACATTACCGTCATTATCGTCGGTATCATCATCAAAAGATAATGTTGTTGTAGTTACTGGCATTGCTGACGGCAATGTAGTTGTTGTTGCTGTTGCCGCCACCATCGATTCTGTCTCTGATGGTGTTGCTTTTGTTTTTGTTACCATAGTATTATTTGTTGTTGCTGCTGATGTATGAGTTTGTTGTGTTTTTAGTGTAGTTGATATTGATGCGGCTTCAGGTTGTATTAAATTGGGGTAGTTATTGTATGTTGATTCTGACACCAATTCTAAAAGATTACCATCATTTAATGACTGCTGTGGTGTTATTGATGTAAATACATGCATTGCAGAAGTTTCACTTCCGTTTAGCATTGATGAACTAGTCGAGGATAATGTTGATGATGATAACGATAATGATGGCACTGTTGTTGAAGTGGTCGTTGTAGTTGTTGGTGCCGCTGTAGTAGTTGTTGTAGTGGTGGTAGTAGTCGTAGTAGTAGTTGTTGTTGTTGTTGTTGTTTCCGGCGGCAATTCAATGCGTTCAATTTCTGTATGCCATCCTTTACGGTTATGTAAATATATTTGTTTCTGATTATAAAACCAATTAATGAATAATGGCGGCTCTAAAGCTTGACTAATTATGCACAACAGTTTCACTTGACTTCCGGCCTTAACATGCCGTGTGGGTGCACCGATTAATTCCGTTTTCGGTTCTGTTTGTAATAATGAAAATGACAAAAAAGAAAATAAAGGAAATTAAAATAAAATTTGTTAAAGCCATATTGTGGTTAACAACAGATGATAATTTGTGGATAAATAAATTATGTCCTAGATAGTACGTACATAAAAGCTTTACTTTGTATATGTGTACATACATGTATAAAGTAATTATGTAAGTGTTATTTTTTCACATCTTAATTGTTGTTATTTTTTTTAACTTTTCTTTCCCTTAATTTACAATTATAATGTCATATAATATACATATATGTATATATTTAATAAATTTACTTTTACTTACCCACAACATGCAGATAAATAATAGCGCTTGCCTTTGGCTCGGTGGACACTTGGCATTCATATATGCCTGCATCTTTTAATTGCACATATTTTATTTGTAATGACCATCTTTCCGGATTGGTAGTATAAATGGATTGAAATCTCTGATCGGCTATAAATGTTGTTTGATCGACTGTTAATATATGACCATCACGTACACGTAGCCATGAAATGGGTTTTTTAACTAATTGTTTAACCTGTAATCATAATATGGGAAAACAAATAATAATTAACATTGCTTCATACAATACTATACTTATCAATTGGGGCTATAATTTCTTTAAATGTGTGCATATATCAAAGTTCTTTAAGAGATTGTGATAACATTTTAAGAAATATAATTAAAACAAGTAAGAAGCTATAGTCGGGGCCGACATTATAATACCCTACACCTGTTACAAAACTAAAACGTGATTTAGTTTTCATAATAAAGCATTTAAGTTGAATTGTACCTTGCCTCAGATATGCTTAAGTAATTTATTGTTAAATAAAATTGTGTTCATTTAAGTCAAATTTTGAAGGGACCTTTGTATAGGGACTATGGTCAAATGAGACCCTATAATTGTAAAATTCATGAGGGTCATCAAGGCTCGTATAGAACTTGGTTTTGCAGCTTTTTGTCGAGATACGAGTATATTAAACATAATTATGATCTTAAAAGCCCTTTTCGTCGGGTTTAGTTGTATGGGGGCTAGGTGAGATAATGTACCGATCTTAACCATTTTCAATACCACCTCAATACGTACCAAAATTCATTGAACTTTCTTCAAAATTGCGACCTGCAGTTTGATTACAAGTTTTACAAGCCCTATTCGGGCTTAAGAAGATTTTGTGCCAATTTTCATTGAATTATCTTCAAAATATCGAACTGCTGTTTGAGTACAAGTTTTACAAGCCCTATTTGGTGGTTCAGTTGTATGGAGGATAGGGGAAATAATGGACCGATGTTAACCATTTTCAACAGGCTTCGTCTTCGGTACCATAGAAGATCATGTGCCAAATTTCATTGAATTATCCTCAAAATTGCGACTAATAATTTGATTAAAAGTTTTACAAGCCCTATTCAGAGGGACCATTTTCAATTGGCTTCGTCCCTGGTATAATAGAAGATTATGTGACAAATTTCATTGAATTATCATCAAAATTGCGACCAGTAGTCTGATTAAAAGGTTTACAAGCCCTAATCACGGGTTCAGTTGTATGGGGGCTAGGTGAAGTAATGGACCGATGTTAACCATTCCCAATAGACTTCGTCGTGGGACAATAGAAGATCATGTGCCAAATTTCATTGAATTATCTTTAAAATTGCGACCAGTAGTTTGATTAAAAGGTTTACAAGCCCTACTCAGGGAATCAGTTGTATGGGGGCTAGGTGAAGTAATGGCAGACAGACAGATAGACAGACTGACAGACAGACAGGCAGACAGACAGACAGACAGACAGACAGACAGACAGACAGACAGACAGACAGACAGACAGACAGACAGACAGACAGACAGACAGACAGACAGACAGACAGACAGACGGACAGACGGACAGACGGACGGACGGACGGACATAGCTAAATTGACTCAGAAAATTATTTTAAGCCGATTGGTATCGTTAAGGCTATAGGACCAATATTATTGTGCGTTAAAAACATCAGCATAAACCCAATATACCCTCCCCACTAAAGTGGTGTAGGGTATAATTACTATCGGATATGTTGATGTTGTATTTAAAACATGATTTTTTAAAGTTCTACATCCATATAACCATATATATAGAATAACAAATAGTAAATATGCAAATCATATTATAACTTAAGTTTAAAACATATAATTAAATTTCTCTTGAATGTAAAATTATATTTAAGCCAAAATCTATGCTTTTTATTTCAATAGATTTAACGCTTTAGTGTAGCAACAATATCAAGTTAATGTCAATTAGTTGTTTAGGAAGTGACTCTTTCTCTATTGGACGTTTTAGAAACGACAACAATTTATGTTTTTACTACCATTATTGTTATTATTTAACTAGCAGTTTCCTTCGTCCATGCTACTTTTGCCTTTTTATCTTCAGCAGAAAAAAGTTTTTTTTTTTTTTTTTTTGGGTTTAAAAACATTGCATCACATTGACCTAAATACTTATTCCAAAAAAACTAGGAGGAAAGAAGTACATGAATTTCCATTACAGCAAGAGAAAGTAGACGGCAATATGCAAAATTATGGTTGCATGATAAAATAAGGAAAAAAATTATTTATACAAAAAAGAAAAAACAATAACAAATAATAGCATCATCATCTTTCTTCGTTGCTAAAAGGATGTGATGGAGAAAAGTTTGTTGTTATATTTGTTGTTTTGGGTAAAATGCATTTTTATGGCAGATTTATTTATTAAAGTTTCATTTCCTTTTATCAAAACTCTTACCCTTTTCCTCACTGCTACTTGCTTGTATATTCTTTGAGCAATGTTGTTTTTGGGTAAAAATGTATGTGGTTTTTTGCTTAAAGGAAAAAAAAACTCTGTGGTATGTGTGGTATAACATATAAATAGAGAAATACATACTTAAAAATATTTTCTAAAATATTAAGAAAAGGAATTTAGATTAATAATATTGCCACGAATTCCTAGTTGCTAGCTTTTAATTTTGTTTGTATTTTTATTCTAAATTCTAAGTTGAAGAATTCCTGTTCAAAATAAAAAACCAATCAATGTCTATGTTTATGTTATACTTCCTTCCTAGACACAAAAAAGTAGACAAACGTTTCAATTGCTTTTCATTTGGTTTATAAACATTTTTAAATATCTAAAGTTAATACTTTAAATAATTTTCAATATCAAATGTTAATAAAAATGTGTCACAGAATATGTTATACCCTATATATATGAAACATATTGGGTCCAAAAGTGATACTTCCAGATCCATTCTGACGATGTACTCGGGATCAACTTAACTTTTAAAAGTACAGATCTCATTTTCAGAGGTTATTTTATAAAATTTGCTACAAAGATTTCTTTTGGAACAAGCACAGAAATACATAAGTCCATAGTTCTCATAGAAATATATCTGGATATTCTAAATAAAATGAATTTGGAACAAAAATTTGTGTGTGAATTGTTTTGTATTTAAAAAGGGCTGCCATTTTCATGTTCCTGTTTCGAAAATCACTTTAATTTGTAAAAGTCAATAATAAATCAAAATAAAATGCAACTTAAGTTAGCGTAGTAGAGAATTTTACTTCTATATAAAATCTACTTGTAAAAGTTTTTTAAACTTAATATAAATCGATTATAAACATCCATAAAAGAGTAAAAATATGTATATTAATGTAAGGTATCACAACCATGTGGTAAATTTATTTTACATACTTCTGTTTTCTTTTCTAGAAATCACTTCCAAAATTGATGTATGTATATGTGCCAATATAAAAAGCATTTACAAAGAAATACTTCCAAAGGAATTTAAATTAATATTATTATTAAGAATTTTTATTGATTTTTCTGTAAGAGTTTTTTTTTTTTTGAATCATTGATTTAGTATATGGAATTAATGAACTAATACAAATAGAATTTGAATTTTGAGTTTTTTAGTATTGGTATAAATATGTTTATATATTTTATGATTATCGATATACAAGCATAATTTTAAATAACAGATAAAAAGGATACCAACTGAAAGCAAAAAATAGAGAAATTGACAGGATAAAATACGAAATAAAACTGAAATAGATAGCTTTCTACTTTAAGTACATATATAAGTATTTATTTTTATGTAAATTGTATTACTGTGCATTTGCTTTTAAAGCTCACATTATATACTTCCCTGCAAACCCAATTTATATTAGTTCATTAGCAAATAAGTACTTGAGTGATTTTTTCTTTTTTTTTTTTAAATCAGTTGCCAAATTTTTGTTAAATAATATTTTTACTGGAGATAATAAAATATGAATGAAGCTTGCTTTAAAACTACATAAGAGGACAACTCAAATTATGTTCAATGGGTGTGCTTTGTACCCTACATTCATTCATTATACATATGAAGCTAAATTTCTAATTATTGATACATTCCATTTGCAACACAAGATGTTGCAACACGTTGTGCTTTACGTGAACATCTGCGTGTCGGTCTTATTACACGGTGGTCTTTTTCACCCACAGGGTGAGCTTTTGTGAAAAATCACCAACGCCCCTTTGTATAACTTATACGCAGGTGGCAATTTTTGTACATAGTTTGCCGGTCCATGTTCATGCACTTTACTCAAGTACTCGAACTATCTAATCTCATCTGATCATTGCTGCCCCCTTGCTTAACTCCGAGATGCAAAAACAGCATTTCCGATTACAACCACGCAGATGGAATGGCCTCTGTTGAGTCGGCAACAGCACCTAGAGACATATTCGATAGACCGAAACTGGAATCCATAAAATAAACCGAGGACTTTGTTCTTATTCACACAGAAAACTCATTGTGGTAAATCTGGTATGAATAGAGTGTTTCCTGAACATACCTGGACAAGGAAGGAAAATTCAATGGTATCCCTTGTATAAGATAAATTTCATCCATCATCATTCTGTCAGCATACTTGTCATTCATTCGACACACCTATAGAGAACAACATCCGACATACTCACTCTGGGTATATGGGTGGGTATGATCTGTATACCCTTACATTCATCCTGTATCATATACACTAAACACCTACTCATTTCCAACGCTTAGTCCCACAGTCAATCCTCTGTGGGGTATTTGTTGACTTCGGCAATAGCATCGAACTTATCCAGAATTCAGGCTTGGGGGGTAATGACTACATTTTCAATTACAATTACATTTGAAGTAATTGTAATTGAAGCTTTACTAATTACAATTACTTTTAATTGTAATTGAAGTTTCGCCGATTACAATTATTTGTAATTGTAATTGATGTTTTGATAATTACAATTACGTGTAATGGTAATTGAAGTTTTGCCAATTAAAATTACTTGTAATTATAATTAAAGAATTTCCAATTACAACTAATTGTAATTGTGAATTTTGTCCCTTATAATTACATGTAATTTGTAATTAGTAATACCTCAATTACAATAACAAGTAATTTTAATTGGAAAATTCCAATTACACTTACAAGTAATTGTAATTAGCAAAACTTCAATTACAATTACAAGTAATTGTAATTGGTTATTGCTCAATTACACATTACAAGTAATTGTAATTGACCGTGTAATGAATTAATTTGTGTAATCATTACCCCCCATGCCTGGCAGAATTATAGGTTTCACCGTGCATCAGTCATTTAACCGACATTCTCTTCTAGCGAAATTAGGTTTAAACCACAGCCACCACGTGCACACCGAAGCGACCTTTCCAATAACCGGACAAGATAAATTCCGAAACTCTGCCCTGAGGGCTACCGGTTATGTGGTTCTCTTGTTCGACCCCATGTCAAATCATACCAAGGAAAGGCCGAGGATACATTTGATCATCACCAGTTTATAGTCCCGACAGTACCTTTCTTCCCCAGGATTGCAAATACACCAAGATGGGGTCTTTCATAGAGGTAACATACACTTCGAGGGAAAACCATTTGCAACAAAGTAAAATATTGGTAGTGGTTTCATATGGGCGTTAATAACATTTTTTTGTTAAACTAAAAACATGTTTCAATTGAATCTACGATTAGCCCTAAACGATGTAACATTAAATGCTGAAATTTTGTACAAATCTCTATTTTTTATAATCTATTGCCATTGTACATTGAAAATTCTCTCAAAATCTCTATTTAAGAGAACAAAATTTAAGTCAAAATTTTGAGATAATTTATTTAATAAATTTATAAAAATTAAAAATTGTTAATTAACAAAAAAATAAAATATTGAATTAAAATGTAACAAATATTAAGTATACGTAACTTAAATAGTAATATTTTATGACCCTTAACAATTAAATACGTATACAGTACGTATGAGTAGTATTGAAATAAAATGTGACTGATATTAAGTATACGTATTGAGTACTTAAAAACAATTGTAATTTAAAGTTGCAAAAACACGCTTATTTTAAATAACAAATATGAGTAATGTTTATTGTACACAGTATCGTTAAAAATGCGAACAAATCAAACAATCATAATTGAACTGTTTCTTTTTTCACATGAACAAAAGATCTTAAATAAATGCTTGACTATTGATGTTCGAATTATGAATATGAATAAATACTTTAGCAAATGAACAAGAAATGGTTAACAACATCAACAAATGAAAAAAATGTATTAATCTAAGTGGATCTTTCCCATTTCAAAACGAAATTGTCGAACTTAAGACAATACTAATCGCCAAAAGATTTCGTTTGAGATTTTCTAAAGCCATAAACCACAGCTATCACAAAAGATAACATAATCCTTGTCATTGGTCATTCGGCCTGATTATGCTCCAGAATCAAATGATTCCATAAGCTTTCCAAATAAATACAAAAATTCGATGATTTGTTACATAAATATAAGTTCTAATATTGAACTTTGAAATATAAAATTAAATTGGAAATATGGAGCAGGGGAGTTTTCAGCACTTGTACTTTATATATTACATATTAAATACTTTTTACTCACAAGAATACCCAGATGCATATTGGGTCTCTTTCATAAATAACAGAGTTATAAATCTGTTATAAATACTAATATCTATGTTAGTTTTAAATAGCTAAGAATTTCAGTTTAAGTTTTTCATCTCACTCCAATAATAAGAATTTAGCTTCAATAAGTAATTATATTTTAAATTTCCAAAACAACTGCTTTCCTATAAACATTTGTTTGTATAACTTTGAACATACATATTTCTTAAATACGGTAGCAAATCTTCTCATAAATAAATATTACTTTGTAGTACTTTACAACTTAAACTTTAACACATTTACTATACTTTGGAGTTTTAGCCAAAAATATTTTTTTGGATATTGGCCAATTGTGTAAAGTCCCAAACCATATTAAATAACCAAAGAGGCTTTACTTTTCATTTCCTAGAATTTAAATTGGAATTTTTTGATAAATTTTTAAATATTTCTTTATGAGTCTAAAAAAAATTGTGTACGTGACTTTATTAAAAATAAATATAAACATGAAAAAATATATAGTTTAACATGGACATGTTAAAAACTTTTAAATTCATATTATTAAATATATATTTACTTATATATATATTTTTTTTGCAAACTGTTTAAACATGGCATTATTTGTGTAATAAAAAAATAAATCTGTTTATTGTTTTCTATAGAAATGTGGCAGAAATATAGTCCAAGAGAAAAACTGATGGTTGTACTTAATACCTTCAGGTGATTGATATTAAATACATGATATAATGTATAAAAATACAGCAAAAATATTTAGTTTTTAACATTATTCATTGCCCACAATTAACGTTATCGGAGGGCAGAATTGCGGCATAGAGAAGATATCAATTCATATTTATTTACGTTATTTTAAGTTTATTTTCATTTTATATAATTCTTATATCTGAAAATGTATAAAGTAGATTTTTAAACCCTCCTCAGTGTATAAGTTTGTTATTCCGATTGTAACACCAGAAATATTTATCTGATATATTCTGGGTTCTTATAAGATTCTACACCGACCAACGTTTTGGAAACAGTCCTCAATACTACACGGTATTTGTAGCCGAACAGCACTTGTCACAAAATGTCGAAGTACTTTACATGAACACCTGCATTGAAGGCCTAATTTCACGGTGGCCTTTTTCATCCACAGTGTTTTTTGACCCCTCACTACCGACCCCATGCGAATCTAACACACCGGTGGCAATATATGTACTTAGTTCTGCCGGTCCATGTACAATCACTTTTCTCAAGTACTCGAACTATCTAATCTCTGATCATTGCTGCCCCGTTGCGTAACTTCCAAGATGAAAAAACATCAATTCCGTCATCTAGAGACGTAATCGGTTGACTTGTTCTTACTAACAGAAAACACACTGTGGTAAATATGGTATGAACAGAGTAAATCCTGAATATACCCGGACAAGGAAGGAAAATTCAATGGTATCACTTATATAAGACACCTTACACTCTTCCCATTCATCCTACACACTCATTGAGAAAAACATTCGACATATTCAATCTAGGTACACGGGTCCTATACACTTGACACAAACTCATTTCCACAGTCACACCTCTGTGGGGTAAATGAATGTCGAAGTGCTTTACGTGAGTACCTGCCGTGTTGGCCTATCACACGGCGGTCTTTTTTATCCACTGGGTAGCCTTGAGAACGGTCTACCATCGCCCCTTCAATCTTCAATGAAGAAATCAGGTGGCAATTTTTGTACATGGCTAAGCCGGTCCATGTACAAGCACTTTGCCGAAGTACTTTAGCTATCCAATCTCTGACCCTTGCTGCCCCGTTGCTTATCTTTCGAGATGTAAAACATCACTTTTAGGTAAACGGGTGGGTGAGGCCCGCATACCCTACATTCATCCCGTACCATATACAAATAACACCAACTCATTTTCAATCCACTACGTGGATCCCGAAGAAACCTCAGCCAACTGACCAGCCAGGACATAGTCCTGCCGGCAATTGGCCACCCGTAGTACCAGATTATGTGGTTCTCTGGTTACACCCCATGTCAAATCATACCAACGACTAGCCGAAGAGTGAAGTGACATCACCAGTTTATAGTCCCGGCAGAATAGAGGTACTGGTAGCACCTCTTTACCCCGGGATTGCAATACACCATGTTGGGACATTTCATCATGTGAGGAGACCTCAGCCAACTGACCAGCCAGGACATAGTCCTGCCGGCAACTGGCCACCCGTAGTACCAGATTATGTGGTTCTCTGGTTACACCCCATGTCAAATCATACCAATGACTAGCCGAAGAGTGAAGTGACATCACCAGTTTATAGTCCCGGCAGAATAGAGGTACTGGTAGCACCTCTTTACTCCGGGATTACAATATACCATGTTGGGACATTTCATCATGGAAACATGCCCCGGAGGGACCTCTGTGGGGTGTCTGGGGTCTTAGCAACAGCACCGAACTTATTGGTTTTTTAACCAACATTCACTTCCCGCGAACCTCTAATGGACCTCTCCAATAACCTGGACAAGATAAAGTCTGAAAGTCTGCCCTGTGAACTACTGGATCCCGTGGTAACAAATAATCTGGTTCTCTGGTTCGACTCCATGTCAAATCATTCCGAGAAAAGGCCAAGGATATACTTGATACTACCAGTTTATAGTACTTGCAGACTAAAGGTATTGGTAGCACCTCTTTTCCCCGGGATTGCAATAACACAAAGATGGCGAAAATCATCAAGGTGGGGCATGTTACCTTGAGAGCTCTTGTCACAAGGCGAATTAACCAAAATTGGATAAAATGTACGCCATCAGAATATAGTGGACATATTGAATGGTTATACATAAACAATCGAGTGGCAGATAAAGAAGCTCTCGAAAATTGATAGAGATTGATCTTAGATAAATTGTCGAATGGAACAGTGGAGCTACACCAACGACTCTCAGCTGGGAAACATAACGGACATGGCTATTAAAAAAGTCCCAATTTTACACATTCCATCTATTTCCGGCACGGCTTTCGGTTATCCGATTTAACTAAAATTTTACACAAGTAAGTTTTAGACACTAACAAACCAAATAAGATCTGAACAAAATCGATATTTTTGGGACACTTCTAGTGTAAACATATGTAACACAAACTAACTATTTAGTCCTGTAGTAAAAATCATACTTACATTACAAGGTAAATAAGCATGTGTTCCAGCTTGGCTAGTTATTGTTTGATAGTCATCAATAGTAGGAGGTGGTTTTAATGTTGTCGTTGGAATTTTGCGACGTCGTGTAGTTGTTCTTAATGTGGATTTTGACGTTGATGTTGTTACTGTTGTTGTAGAGATTTCTTTTGTTGTTGATATGGTTGCTGCTGATGTGACAGAGTGTGTTGCTGATACATTAAATGGTAGTGCTGATGATGATGATGTTTTATTTAATGCTATTGTTGTAGTTGTTGGTGTTATTTTCATTGTTGTTTGTGATATTTGTTTCATTGCTAGAGTTTCATGTGCTAAAGAATTATTGCCTTTGAAATTATGTTGTATTTTCAATAGATTTTCCTTCTCCTCATCATCAGTAGTATGCAATACATGGCTATTGGTAGAATTTTTCATAAAACTATTGTCAACAGCAGCTGCTTTTGTTGTTGATATTATGCCTGCCAAAGACATTAATGTATCTCGTTTTAAACTACTACTACTACTACTGCCACCACCAAAGCTACTACGACTAATACTACTACCACTGCCAGGGTACATATTTAGATTGCTGTTCAATGTTTTCATGTTAGGAGCGGACGCCTTTAAAGCAGCACTTTGGTATGGTAAATAGGATAATGCACTATTGTTGTCATACATGTGGTTTTGTTTTGTTGCTAATGTTGATGGTTTTCCAGTCGTTGTAGTCGTTGTTGTTATTGCTAATATTGCTGTTGCTTGATTACTCTTGTTAAAACTATTAATTGTTATAGTTGCTGTATTTAGAGTATTTGTTTTCTGACCAATATCATCATAATTATTTCGATGTAGCATACTGTCCCTATTGTCCTCATAAATATCAGGGTCATCGATGTAAAGTTCACTTATGCTGCTAATATTTGTTATTGTTGGTTGGCCTAATGCATTTTGATCCTTGTAAAATTTTTCAAAAGGATTCATGACCAACGAATTCTGAATATTTTTCTTTGTTATATTCCCAGCTTGTTGCAATTTCAAAGCATTTTCTTGTAGGGCCCCAGTCTTGTCATCATTTCTTAGTGTATTTATGCTGTCGTGTTGTATGGTTGGTAAAACATAATCATTTTTGTTTTTTGGAAAATCTGTTGCTGATATTGCAAATAATTTAGTTTGTTGCTCTTGTTTTCGTTGTTCATCTATTAGTGTTGCAGTCGGTGATGTTGCTGTTGTTGTCATATTGCTCTTTAATATTTCATGATTGCTGCCTGTTGTTACCTTCAGGTTTCTTTTCGTCTTTTTTGGTCGTTTATATTGGTTGCTTTCTTTTTGTTGTTGTTGGCTTGTGTCTTTTTTTGTTTTCTGTTCAGATGACAACAATTTTATCGATTTAGTTGTTGTTGTCTGTATTGTAGCTGCTGTCGTTGTTGTTTTTGTTAATGATGATAGCAATATTGCTTTAGCTGGTGTTTCTGTTGTTGCTGTTAATGCTAATGCTGTCGAAAAGACTGATGTTGCTGTTGATGACATTTTGTTTATGGTTTCCATAGAGTTTATATCTTTTAAATCCAGTTGTAGATTTTTTATTAAAGTCTTTGTATTATTTTTTTCGAAACTTTCCAAAATTGCACCTAGATAAAAGAAAAGGATATATAGTAGAAAAATAATGAATTTCTTGTGAATACTTTTTAGGTTAATGTAACGGTTTTGTGTATCTAAAATGTTTAAAAATTTGTTAAAGGAAAAAGGGATTAAATAAATTTTTGTTAATATGTAATACAAATGAAACATTACTGGTTGTTGAACATTAACAGCTAAAATAATGGACCGATTTCAATAGCGTTCGTCCTTGGGTAAAAAGAAGTGTATGTGCCAAATTTCATCAAATTATCTTGAAATTCATACAATGGGTAGACAAAAGACGGTACCCACGCGCCTCTGAATCCTTCTATGAAGAACTCATGTGGCAATTTTTGTACATGGCTGAGCCGGTCCATGTACAAGCGCTTTGCTGAAGAACTCGAGCTATCTAATCTCTTGCCATAGTAGCCCCGTTGTGGAATGACAGGCAGCATGGGATCAACCCCAATGCAAATCCCGACAAGGAAAAAGCAATCACCGGTCTAAAGTAAATAGAAGGGGCGACAAACCCCAACATCAGGTGAAATCAATCTTCCGATAAACCGGAAGGTGACCACGCTTATGATGTCATGAAAGATTGCATTCTTTAAAATGCAATCCCCATCATCTAATGACCCATTCCAGTGCATTCCTCAACCATATGTCGCGTAGCATGAAACAATATTAATCCTGTTGAGATGGCAACAGCACCGAAAACTTCCCTGAAGTAAAAGGTCTACTAAATCAGTACTAGTCTCCTGTCGGGCAGAGGAGTCTTTCTCGATCGTTCACCAACTAACATCATTTCCATTCTCAGATCATAAAGAACGATATATGTAATGACAGGAAACTCCCAAGTGTTAACCTGTAAATTCCCCAACTTATACTGGCGCCCTACTACGCGAAGAGTAGGATTACTCAACGGGTTTAGGAATCCAACATAAGTTGCTTTGTCACATAACCCAATGACATCTTTTGAGATGGCAACAGCACCGGAGAGAGAATCCAGATATATTTGTCATTTGGATATATCAGTCCTTAAGCCAACATTCTCTCCCCACGAATTTGGGTGTAAACCACAGCCACTACGTGGATCCCGAAGGAACCTCAACCAATTGACCAGTCAGGACTAGGTCCTGTGGGCAACCGGCCACCTGTAG